ATGAGTAATAAAACGACTCTTCATAAATTGCAGTTGCAAAGCAAAGACTTCCAGACAGGTCGTTATTTCCTTCGCGTTTGTACAATTCTTGTATCTAATTTAAAAGCGTTCGATGATATTTCAAATATGTTTTTCTTTGCGTCTAGACATTATTGAAGTGACTCCATTATTTGCAAGAATTCCGCAGTCTTACATCCGCGCCAGCAAATTACTATGATACTTCCTGCCAGTTTGAGTATTTTTCTAAAATTCATCTCATTCAATTAAATTAATGTGCCTGTAATGCGAATAATTGTTTTTTAATTGATGTTCAGTGTAGTCGCAGTAGAGAATCCACAGAGCATATCATACCGTGGTAGTTAGAGAAAATTTTCGCCAAGAGATGGCCAGCAACATCCTCCTGATTACAACCAAATAATAAAAAACTGGCCGTGTTGTGACGGTGTAAGAATATTTACTACTCCACATCATACCCTGGGTGTCGTTAGAGGTGATAAACGAAAACAAACCGGAAGATACTCACACACTACTCATACAACATACACAAATTAATAAATCACACCACATATTACAACTACTAAATACACATACTCGTACAATCTATATATGTAAAATACTACCCTAATATATTATATTATTGATGTATTAATGCTTTGATACTGATTGTAGGATACTAAAGTTATATTTTTATTATCTTTATTATTTACTTTAGGATATTTTGTTGCGTTAATAATATTGTAATTCTTAGCTATGGAAGGGCGAAGTCACCTGTTACAGGCATTATTTTGCTTATTAGGCGACTTCGATCACTGATCATATATGTAACATTAATGTTTGACGAAATAAATAATTTATTTATTATTATTATTATTTATTAAGATGGGCAGAAGCGTATTCCTAATAATAACTTAAAACAAAAAACTGCGGTTGCGAACCTGCCTGCCAAACGTGGCTACAATGGCAAATAACTCCTGTGAGTTAATGTACGGGGGAAGCCTGTGTTCAGCTGTGTACCTTTGATAAGCTGTGATGGTAACTGCTAAATTGTACGCCTTGAGTAACGTTACAAAGTTTGTACAACGACAACCGATGGTGAAGAAAGGTTATCAAATGACTTCTAGACGTAGTGTGTAAAAGGCTGTAGTAATGATGATGATTTAATTTATATTTCTTTGAGAGTCAACTATAATGAGACCAAAACAATTTATGGATAGATTAATTGAGAGTAGTGGTTATTATTGTCTTAAATTGAAAGCGTAGCTGTGAGGGGGCGGGGGGAAAGTTTTAATCTTAAACTATTTTTTCGGATATGTTAGAAAAAAGTGGAATTCAGCAACCGCCGAGTACTGCGTAAATTACTATTTTAAATGTAATTTATTTATTTAAAAATAAGACATAAGTACATAAAACTCAATTAAGTCGCTTATAATACAATCGTCATCTACCCAGCTGTTTTTTTAAAAGTCTACAAGTGGACGTGGGTCCATTCAGTCATGAGGGCGCAGGCTCTTACTATATCGTGGCAGAGCATTATGATACATTTTCTCTTAGCCTATAGGGCAATGCAAGTGTGAGGTTTTTTGCTTGATATTGTTTGTAAATGTCCATAGACTACAGAAGTCATTTATTTAACTTGGAGTAATTACATACTTATGTATTATTTACCCTATTAAAGACTAAAACGTGACATGTATTCATTTATATCATACTAACCTTTTTATACAGTTTTTGTTTAACTAAATATTTAAACATAGTAATAGAGAGACCTTATATATTTTCTGAAACTTTGTTGTAATAGCGTATACATTGCCCCAAGAATGAATTACTGACTCTGTAGAGTCGAGAAACTGTTAGCACCAGCTCTCACACAACTCACAACTCTTTGGTGATAATCACAAACATATATATAAATATATACATTTGAGTTACGTATACATTCACTGACCTCTATATATGGACTGGCTAAAACCCGTGACATAATAAGGTGATTTGATTTTCGTCATTTTTACGATGACAATAGAAATGAATAGAGATAAGACAATGTGATAAATATATCGATAAAAATTCTATACCTAGGCTTACCTGCAACGTCCATTCTGTTTATGTATCATATTAATATAATGCCACAAAATAAATTAATATATCAATGAATCACCTAGGCATTATACGCAAACTTTATATATCATACAAAAGCAGCGCGTTTATTACTAACTTTAGAACGGATTTTCCTCCGTGTTCAATATTGGGTATGTTGGTTTATTCGCGAGTCTTAAATATTGAATTAGTACTGGAAAATATTCAACTGGTGTAAGTAATTAATAAAGAATTTATCTGCAACGGTTCAATAAGTTCTAGTATTATAGAAAACAAATCAGTCTGTACCTGTATGTATATAGACACAATTAACGATACCTTCTATTATATAAAAATTAATGTTTCGTGTTTTCCTTCGTATTTTATGTATTGCTATACATTACATTACGATATAACTTTGTCAACTTATAGCTTTCACTTGCGCAAATGTTATAGGAATAGTACAGTTAACTTACACTTAGTGGCGAGCGTATTGTACAGAAAATTTATTTGAAAGTTACAGATCATTAAATTTCAATAATTATATTTTCATTCCTAGTTAAACAATAACATCATCATCATAATTAAAGCCCTTTACAAGTGTTCTGCTGATCATAGCCCTCCCCCAAGGAATACCACAAAGTACGGTCCCGAGTCACTTGCATCCATTGACTTCCTGCATGTTTTACCAGGTCGTCACTCCATCTAGTTGAGGGACGCCCTACACTTATAAAGTCATACCATGGGGTCTCCTGCCATTGTCTCTAAATATTCTACAATGCTCTATAACCAAGGAAACATTTATAGAGAGACACTAGCTCTTCAGATGACATCGTTTGAACAACCGTGACACGACAACATTACACTAAAGAATAATACCATATAATTATTACACAGTTATTTAACCGTGTAATAAAATATGGTATTAAGAGTGGATTCAACCAAATACCATGTTACAGTACAGTAACTAACCCTCGAATAATTTTACTCTTTGGATTTACTCTCAGATGACGTCGTTTGCGTTTTTCCAACACAAACGTGGAGTAGCCCATACTGGGTTTTGTTACTCTAGGGTTTGTGAATCAGTAACATTTGATAATTATATGTTGTCGGCGACTTTGATTGTTAACAGATATGAGTAGAAAAGAACATCGATAAGTATTATAGACAAGATACTCGACAACCCTATTAATGTTAGTAATTATGATATTAAGACCAGTAACAAATTTTTAATTTTAAATTAATATTATCAAATAGTTTAATTTTTTTGTGTCATCTCACTTTCCTTTTGATAAAGAGTTTCACAAATTGCCCACACTCTTACCCTACTTACTACCCACACTTATTACTAAAAATAATTCTTATTAATATATTTTTATAAATATAGATATAGCTAAAATCAAACACATTCAAACTACTTAAAATATTTTCACGTGTTTCTTTAAAAGTTCAAAATACTATGGTCGCGGAATTTTTTTATTTGACGGTAGGCGTGCCAAATCGTTTATCCCTTTCCAAACGATATCATTCATACCCTCCTATCGACAAATTGGGGTGGTGGGGTGGGAGGGGAAAGAAGATGATTCTAGAATATTACGCAATCATCGCAACCGAAGGAATAAAAAGGCACGCGCGGCCGACGCGCGCCCTCTTCCCGCCGCGCTCGTCGTTGGAACCACACCGCCTAGGATAATAGTGTCCTAAAGAGCTCTTGCCCACGCGCACCGCTAGTATAACCGCTTAGCCTGAAGCAGTCGAGCTCCAGGAAACCCGCCTCACCTCGTGTGAGAAATAGTCGCGCACCGCCAGTGTTCCAGAAGTCGCAGTTATACTCTACCGACGCGTCATCGGACGAGAAAGGCAGAGAGTCTACCCAGAGTATCTTCCAGAAGTCGCAGCATAGAAGCAACACCCCGGTGAGTGAACATTCCAAATAGTTCCTGCTTGATATAATTGTGTTTAATAGTTAATACGCTCCAATTTATTTTCTCCTAATCAAGCAGGATAAAGGGGCCGACCGATACCCGAGAGTATAAGACGTGTTTATTTTCGCTCCGTGAATTTTAAATCTAAAGTGCAGTAAATTTTAGTTGCTATAGCATGTGTTTATAATCATTATTTTTGTTAAAAAGTGCTCTTTCCAATGGTGAAATCGGAATTGTGAAATACAAAGAGAATTGTAAGATTTATATCTTACAATTCTCTTTGTATTTGCGAAAACATTTCAAATTTATTTGTAACGAACTTTGACGCTGACCTACGATAACACGCATCAAGCCCGCTTCGCGTGCCTCCGTGCTGTGTTTAGTCACTACTTGAACGTCACCGTGCTACATTCAGGCGGTCGAGTTGTAGGCCCTCGCAAATCTAACTCCACGTCCGCACATGACCATCTATGCCACGTGAGGGCCGGACATTGAACTTTTAATTAACTTAACCAATGACCAACGGGTCGCTCACGGCCGTTCGGTGGGGCCGCACGCGTTGTATCAGAAATATTCGCAATGAAATATAACTAATCAATACATCACGACAGTATTCTTTGGTGGTTTAGTGAACACAGTGTGAAGGAAAAAAAAATTATCAGTGTAGTGTTGCAAAAAATCGAAGGATCTCGAGTGTTTTTTTTACCGCGGAGATCGTCACGGCTGTTGACTCTTTTTTTATCATCGCGACCTTCGTTCCGATAGATATTGGATAGAATTACGTAATTCTTGACTAGGTTGTTAGTTTCATATGTGTAAAAATTTACTATTACTGTGTGTGTGAACTTTGAGACTCTTAAACATTATTACATGATAGTACTATCAGTGCAGTGATATTCCGTAGTGGAAACCCCCCCCCCCCCCTCCGATGACGATATAAACATTTTATTTTATTTTATTTATTTATTTATTTTTTTAAACTTGGACTAATTAATTAGCAAGATGGCCACTACTACTTCTAAGGATCATACTAGTGAAACCACTCCCTCCCTCCTACCGGCCTATGTCGAGGAAATAACCAACATCGATACTTTTGTCACGACGATACAAAAACTGTCTGACTGCATTACTAAAGCGGTCTCTGACGGCAAGTCAGTCACCGCCGCAAAGAAGAGACTCATCAACCTAGCTGCCGAGGAGATCAGAAGGTGTGGGCATAAACTGACAAGCATGTCTACAGTGCTTGCCCCCGCCCCCCAGAGTAACATGAACAGCGACTTGAAGGCTGACATCGTCGCCTGTGTCAGGAGCGAGATGGCCAAACTAAAGGGCCAAATAAACACGCAGCTTCAACAGCAGGCACGGCCTGCCTCATACGCCCAGGCCGCTGCGACCAGCAGTGGGCCGGGCTCTCTTCCCAGCGTGACCACTATGCCACCAGCCCGCGGTACATCTAACAACAAGCCGGCCATCGTGGAGACCCCAAAGGTAACCCCCAAATCACGACAGGAAGCAATCGAGGCGTTTAAGAAGAGCATATCGTACCGCACAGCGAATTATGCACCAGCTAGGGTTCAGGCAGTGTCAAATCACAAACTTAGAGTGGAATTTGACACAACCGAACAACGTAACGACACCCTACAAAAGCTAAAATCGTCTGAGCACGTAAGCGTTGAGCCGGCTAAGGGACTGCGGCCAATGATTATACTAAAGGGTATATCCAAAGATATACCAGCTGAAGAGATAGCTGGTATTGTCAGGGGGCAGAACCCAGAGTTGAAAGAGGCTTTTATTGAGGACGATGACATGCGCCTCCGATTTAGGCGTAGCAACAAAAACCCGGGGCTATACAACGCAGTGTTTCTTGTGGCACCCAAACTCTTTCGTAAATTCATTGAAAAGGGCAAAATCAGTGTTGACTACCAGCGATTACACATCAGCGAATTCTCACCCTTTCTGCAGTGCCACAGGTGTCTGCAGTTTGGGCACATTAAAAAGTACTGCACAGCCGCAACTAGTCAATGCTCGCACTGTTCCAGTAAGGAGCACACAGGCGAAAAATGTCCTGATAAGGGCAAACAAGGTACTGCCATATGCGCTAATTGTGCATCTCATAATGATAAATTTGGTACCAAAGCGGATGTCCGCCACTCTGCCATGTCACTGGAATGTCCAAAACTGAGAGCCATGAGAGAAAGAATAATTAACAGAATTGATTATGGATTTAATTAATAAAAATATAAAAATTATACAGTGTAACATTGATCGTTCAAAAAAGAGTTTACTTGAATTTATTCTTTCTTTCATGGCAGGTGGCTATCAAATTGCATTGCTGTCGGAGCCATATGTTGGCTCAGGAAATGAGGTGCGACCAACTCAGGGACTCAACATACATCAATTTGGTGGAAAAGGTAGAGTTAAGGCGTGTATACTCACTAAACCAGGCTGCGGTCAGGTGATTGGTATGTCACAATACTCTAACTCAAATCTTTGCGTTATTCAATTCACAAGTGGCGGTCATAAAATACTCATAGCCTCCGCATATATCGAACCGAATTCAGACGAAAATAACACATTAGAGCATATAGATAATTTTCTCAAGATCTCCCGATGCCCAAATGCCATCATTGGCGGTGACTTTAATGGATGGCACCATCTATGGGGCAGTAAGACCAATAACCCTAGAGGATGTGCGGTAGTGGAGCTGGCACATGCAAATGATCTCTTCGTTTGCAATGTCGGCACCTCACCCACCTTTGAAACCGTCACACACGGCAGGGATCGGACTTCTATAATAGACCTCACATTGGCCCATGGACACATATTTGACCGTGTAGTCGGGTGGAAGGTCAACCTCAACGCCTGCCCTTCATCGCAGCATAATGCGGTGGAATACGAGATTGCGACTGAGAATTCTTCCTTAAACTCCTCATCGATAACCAACTCCACGTTTAAGTACAACAGCAACAAGGCCAATTGGGGAATATTCAAGGATGCACTCCACACGCTTATGACCAATACAGATATATTGGAGAGAGACATCGGATCGCTGAACACAGCTGGCTTGGAGAAATTGATTGATGACATCTGCGGGATCATTCATAAAGCGTGTGAAGAATCTATGCCGACAAAGAAAGGCCGATCCCTGACGAAGCATCGCCCGTTATGGTGGACGGAAAAACTGACAGACCTCAAAAAAGAAGTCATCCAGTTACACCACAGACTAAACCGAATGAGACGTCGGAATCTGCCTCTAGACCAACTAGCAGAGGAATTAAATAATAAAAAGGCAATATATGCGGAGGAACTGAGGGCGGAGTCTTCCAGGAGTTTTAGAGAGTTCTGCGAACTACAAACAAAAGAAAACGTTTGGACTCTCACGAATAGACTTCTGAAGGACACTGCACCCAAGCGGCCACCAGCCACCATAAAAATTGGTGACAATTACACCAGCAGCGAAACGGAGACGGCCCAAGCACTCCTGGATCACTTTTACGGTGATGATACACCAGATAATGACACGCACCAACACCAGTTTCTTAGATCCAGAATCGGGAATGAGCCAGATGGAGTAGATGAACCCCCATTCACTGTCGAGGAGGTTTTGGAACATCTCAAATGGATGAATCCTAAGAAGGCACCCGGCATTGATGGTCTGACATCTGACATCTGCCTACAATTTACTATTAATTACCCAGAACTTATAACGGGAATCATGAACAGGTGTCTAGAGCTCCATCACTTTCCTCAGCAATGGAAGAGAGCCGAAGTTAAAATCATACCAAAGCCAAGCAAGACTGATTATAGCGAATTAAGCTCCTTCCGCCCTATAGGACTCTTGCCAGTCTTTGGAAAATTGCTCGAAAAATTATACATTAAGCGTCTCATATATTGCGCAACCAAAGCGGGACTACTCAACGGGCGACAGTTTGGCTTCAAGGAACAAACCAGCACGATTACAGCTATAGATACGGCACTCAGTATCGTAAAAGCGGCTAAGAAGAATGGCAAACAGGTGCTGGGCGTTTCTTTAGACATCCGCTCCGCATTTGACAACGCGTGGTGGCCCGCACTATTCGAGAGACTACGTGCTATAAGATGCCCCAAGAACATCTTCCACTTAATAGAGAGCTATACGACGAACCGCACAGTTACATTAGAATACGGAAGAGCGCGGGTTACTAAGAACAACACCAAGGGCTGCATACAAGGTTCAGCGTGTGGACCCATTTTATGGAACGTGATACTGGACGAGTTGCTTGAGGCTGAACTTCCGAGTGGATGTCATTTGCAAGCCTTTGCGGATGATGTTTTACTTATCGTCTCCGCAAAGGATGTAAATACCCTACAAACAAATACCAATCGCGCTCTGGAAATCATATTGGAATGGGGGCAAAGTGTCAAATTGACATTTGGACTCACTAAGACGCAAGCCATTGCATTCACGCGTAAGGCTGAAGAAGCACACCTTATAATGGGGAGACACACTTTAGCGTTTCAAAGGAGTATTAAGTTCTTAGGCATGATCATTGACCGAAAGCTTCTGTTCGCTGATCATGTTAAGTACGTTGTTGGGAAGGCTATGCGAATTTTCAAAAAACTATGCATTTACACCCGACCAACCTGGGGAGCCCATTCCGATAACGTGCAAACCATCTATCGACAGGTCATTGAGCCTACAATTACATACGCAGCAGGTATCTGGGGTCAAGCGGCGAAAAAACGATATGTAAGGAAGCTCTTGGAGTCGGCCCAAAGGGGGATTTGCAATAAAGGCAATTAGGGCCTTTAGGACAGTCTCAACGGTGGCAGCGGTCGCTCTGGCTCAATTTGTGCCCTTGGACCTCAGGGTTCTGGAGGTACATGAAGTTGAGACAGTACGACTGAAAGGGGCAACCAACTTAATACCAAGGGATATACAATATGAGAGGCCCACACCTGTGCATGAGTTATTACATCCGTCAAAAAGAATAAGTATTGAGTGTGCAGACCTGAATTCGGAAAATCTAGAACAGGAAACAGCGCCTATTCGAATCTATACAGATGGAAGCAAGCTCGAGAATGGCGGTGTGGGAGCGGCTTTCGTCTGTTTCGAAGGTTCAAAAGTTATATATAAAAAAGAGGCTGAAACTACATACTAGCTGCTCTGTGTTCCAAGCGGAACTCTTGGCGATTAAAGAGGCTTGCGAGTGGACTTTGGACCGGAGATTGAAGCAAGGAGACGAAAGACACCAAAGGGGCACAAGGATGCACATGGGCTGCAAGGAGGTTATACAGATCTTGAGTGACTCTCAGGCGGCACTGAGAGCACTCCAAAAGAGATCTAACACCCACCCCATTGTGGCAAAGACTCATGACACAATATATACAGCTGCTCAAGTGGATCTTAATTTCATATTCTCATGGGTTAAGGGCCATGCGGGCGACGCAGGTAACGAAATTGCTGATGAGACAGCCAAAGGCGCTGCCACACAACACAAAACTCCTGACTACGCGAAGTTCCCTATGAGCTTTGTAAAAAGGACTATGAGGGAAAAAACTTGGAGAACTTGGCAGACAAGATATGAAAGCGAACAAGGACAAGAACAAAGAGCGCAGAAAAAGAACAAAGAGAACGAAGAACGAAGAACAAGGAGCGCGCACAAAAGAATTACTCCCAAAATTGACGGACATTTGTGCACTATGGAAAGCAACCAAAGTATCATTTCAATTAACGCAGGCTTTAACAGGTCATGGCTACCACAAGGAATATCTGCATAGATTCAAAATCGCTGCCGATCCATTCTGCCCCTGTGACAATACCACTACTCAAACGTTAACTCATTTGTTGAGGGAGTGTCCTAGATTTGAGTACAATAGACTAAGACACGAGATGCTTTGTAGCAATCTACGTATATCACCGTACTGTGTAACGGAACTTTCAAATAAACAAAGTGCTATTGAATCCTTCGTTACATTTATTAATTACATCATAGATAAGCTTAAAGGATTCAATAAATTGTAAATTATTTAAACTAATATACATAGGATATAAATTGTGTATAAACTTTCTAATAACTTTTATAATTTAAGTTAACATATATAATTATCACTCCTCCTTTCAAACTTTATCTTTGTTCTTAAGAATACAATATGTAAATCTAAGATTACTCTGGTAATAATAATAATAAAAAAAAACTGTATAAGGCTATGTACAACTTCTCTATAATTCTCTTTTATATGCTAATCACGTTCGCACGAATCGTTGCATACATTATTTTGGTTATAAGACACTAGCTTTAATCATTGTTAATAAATCATAAGCTATAGTCTAACTCCTAAGCAATAGATATAGGAATACCTTGTATTTTACTTAAATTAAATCTTATTTTCTCACCTTTCTTGTATATATAACATAAGTAAATCTCTTTCATTTACCTATGCTCGTTTGCTAATCATATCTGTACAACTTAATGACTCATATTATATTATTGATAATAAGGCACAAATTTAATGAATGTTAATAAATTATAAGCTAAGGACTAAATTATAAGCAGTAGACATAAGAATACCCTGTATTATATTTATATTAATTTTGTAATTTTTTCTATTCGTTTTTTTTTTGTTAATTCGGTACTCTTTCTAATTTTCTAAAATATGTAATGCTACTGGGAATAATTATACAAATTTATATTGTTATTAATAATTTCATTCAGTGAAAAATAATTTTATAATAGTGATAATATTAAATGGACCGATACCTAATCAATGTATCAAATCGCATTGATGTTAGTTATCTTGTCTTAGAGAATAACAGCTTGCAAAATATAGTGTAAGCCATTTAATGTAACCTATTGTGTAAAAATGTCAATAAATTCCCGTCAAGGACGGTATACTCCTTGGTGGAAAATCAAAAAAAAAAAAAAAACAAGCAGGATTCCTTTCATAGATTTGGCAAATAATAGTTCGTTTTAGGGAAGAGCGAGTGCATTGTACCGCGTGCTATAGTCGCCATTTTATGTAAACGTAGAAGCATTTCGCATATACAGTCCACTTTGGTTAATATTTCGCGTAATAGGTTTAAGGCTCGACCGGGGAATTGGACTTCGGTAGCCTTAGGCTCGTCGCTCCACCATACTATTTAAACAACACAACAGACTTTGGTATATTATGTCAATTTTAGTTCCCGGTATGAACACTGGCAGCGTTTTAAATCGACGTCCAGCGTACTTGTATAAATATATAGCTCAGTGATTCCACCGGACTTTGGTCAAATTATTTTGGACGTTATTTATTACCCAACAATGGAAAAAATATCATTCTTGCCACTTTTTTGCAAAAATAAATTTCTTTAATTTTTTTAGAGTTAAAGTGTATTGTTAGCGTTAATTTATAATACTCGTATGTATATTAACATGTGATGTTACATTTATAAAATTTCAGTAAAAGTGCGGCGAAAAACATTTTTTATGCATTTTTTAATACACATAATAGTACTTATTGGTTTGATGTATACAAGTAAGCTTGAATATTAATATATTTGTTTTGAACATAGTTATGTACACACGGGTAAAACAAGTGGGTTTCAACCGAGTGTCCAAAGTAACATTACACCTTTGATTTACTTTTTGGCACTTTACATTTAAGGTAAACCCTTGAATGTAAAGAGCCATTATTAGTATTTTTCTTAAATCACTTAAAATAGTAGTCGAGAATATATTTATATATTATATGTACACTAGCTTGCAAGCAGACGTTGTTCTGCCCTTTTCGACGACCCTTTGGCATGTCCTACTAAAAATCCTTAAATTCGCAAAAAAATTGAGTCACTCATGGCCATAAAAACTATCTATTCCCTCAAGTTGGACCAAACCGCACACGGTGTGCAAATTTGATTAAAATCGGTTAAGTAGTTTAGGAGTCCGTCACGGACAAACAACGTGACACTCAATTTATATATATTAAGATAACAAATAATTATAACTTTAAAAATTATTATTTCTTTTGAAGTTGTTTTAAAATGGGCTATAATGTGTTGATATTCTTACATTCAAAGTGATTTAAGTAAAGATCTATGTAAATAATAATAATAATTTGGTAGTAAAATTAATAGTAGTGTTTATAACGATATAGACAGTGTTTGACCGAATAGTATTGAATATGAAACGTTCCTCGTGAATTATTTATATCAGATGAAATACCGACGGGGAATACTTTGCCTGTAATCGGAACAACAAATGATATAAAATATAAGTGTATGTTTCAAGTATATTTTTTACATATTAGAAACCAATGCTTGACTACAAAACTACCATAATACTACATACTACATAATTTACATACTATAATATTGTCCACGTCCCAATTAGTGCACTTTGTACAAACTCCATTTCCTAACTCGTCTCATTCCTATGGAATCCTGTAGTTCGTCCATTTCCCAAATCGGTCAAAATAGATGGAGAAGTGGAAAAATTAGAAAAGAAGGGACATCAAGATGAGCGTTTTCTGTTTTATTTACGAAGTAAATGTTTTCAAAAAAAAAAAATGTTCTTCTTTAACTTAAACTAGTTCCCCAATGACATAAAAAAATTACCAAAGTAATAAAATCAAGCGTTACTTTGCGGAATGCGGAAAAGTTATATAGCAATATGATGTTTGGAAATACATAAAAAATGAAGGAAAATACGAAAATTTAATTTTTATATATTAGAAGATATTGTTTATTGTGTCAATATATATACAGGTAAATAGTTAGAAAAGCGTTATTTAAGCAGCTGATTTGTTTTCCATAACAGTAGAACTGATTGAACGGTTGACCAATTGAATATTTTCCAGTACTAATTCAATATTTAAGACTCGCGAATAAACCAACCCAATATTGAAAACGGAGGAAAATCCATTCTGTAGTTAGTAATAAAAGCGTAGATAGACCAACGCAGCGTCGATTTTAGTTTTGTATGAGGTATAAAGCTTGCGTATAATGCCTAGGTATTAATTGATATATTAATTTATTTTATGGCATCATATAAACATGATACATAAATAGAATGGACGTTACGGGTAAGCCTGGGTATAGAATTTTTATCGATATATTTATCACACTGTCTTATCTTCGTTTCTATTGTTATCGCAAAAATGACGAAAATTGAATCGCCTCATTATGTCACGGGTTTTAGCCAGTCTATATATAGAGGTCAGTGAATGTATACGTAACTCAAATGTATATATTTATACATATATTCATCACCAAAGAGCTCATATCACTACGTTTTAATTGTCACGTTTTAGTCCTTACTATGGTCAATGATACGTACGTATGTAATTACTCTTAGGTAAATAAATTACTTCTATAGTCTATGGACATTTACAAACAATAGCTGAACTATATACAACACATTGACAGCCATTAAAAAAACAAAAAGTTAGTTACTTCCCATTTTTTCTGCCATTTTTTCCACACACTAAATCATATAAAATAACAAGCTAGTATGACAAACGAGCAAATAGTTCACCTGACAGTAGACGCTGTGGCCCATAATCACCTGCATCTACCTTTTGTTAATTAATTGGTGATGTGTTGTCACCCCTTAAGCGTTACATGAAATGCTTCGTTAAAACTACTTTTACGGATTTTATCGCGTTTATTTTTACTTTTTATTTATTTTTATTTTTAATTCACGACGTTTCGGGCGCTTTCCAGCACCCATGGTCACGGGGGACTGAGATGACTGACGTCCCGATGTCATTGTTAAACCCGGAGTACCTTCAGCTTTTTTAATTATTGTTTATGGTCCGATCTATGCAAAATGAACTGACTATGTCCTGAGGTCTTGCAGTGGTATGCTTGGGTTTAGTTTTAATTTTATTGATTATAGGATCCCAAGCAGGTGGAAGTACCCAGCCTCCTTCTCTATTGAAATTAGGATGTTTTTTAATTTCAATAGCCTCACGTATCATCCTTGGTAGGAATCGGTGTTCTTTCGCGAGGATTTATGGTCTATCAAATCTGATGTAATGGTTGGGTCCGTCTAGGATATGATCACAAACTGCAGACTTCCCGGAACGTTGCAACGTCTGGGACAGCAAGGACCAATACAGCATTGTGAATTGCCATACGTGCCTTTTTCGACACATTTTGACTCTTCACAATATAAATGCAAGGCCCCATTTACTCTATTTCCCGCATTCACTCGTCGTTCTATATCCTTATCATATCTCCCATCCCTGCTAAATACGCAGCCCAAATATACAAACTCATGTACTTGCTCGATCAACTCCCCCTTCTATTCTTATTTCACAAATCGTTTTACTTTCTTCTCTTTCAAAAACCATAACCTTCGTCTTACTTGCGTTCATTTTCATACCCCTTTCTTTTAATGATCGGTTCATTAATGTTCATCATAGTTCATAATTAAAACCATCATTTGCAACTCGGCCGCCGACGATGCAAGAATAACTTGATCATCGGCGTACAAAAGGCATTTGACGGTTAACTCACCCATTCTTAATCCGCATTATTCAACTTTCAAATTTTGCAAACAACTGTCCATACATAGGTTGAACAGCCACGGGGAAGCCACACAGCCCTGTCTGACACCTTTATGGATGTCAAACCAGTCCGAGTAGACCACGTTGATCCTAACACAAGCACTAGAGTCCCTATAAAGAGACTCCAATGCCTGTATCAAGCCAGCGCTCAACCCAAATGAGTTCAGTGTTTGCCATAGCAAATCCCTATCCACTCTGTCATAGGCCTTTTCCAAGTCCATGAACGCACAAAA